ACTACATGAGTAGGACCATGTTATTTCATACGATTTAAAACCCATTTACTATGTTCGATTTTGAAGTGACGTCATCTCATTATTGATCGTTAGACGAATTTTGGTTAGCGTTTTACCATCTGCATGATATTCCTAATATAATACAAAATTTGACAACAATCGGCCCAGTATTTGGAGATTTTCTGTTTAATAAAAATCAGAACGGCGGACAGACGGACGGAAACTGGAGACCTGAAAGATCGAGAAAACGATTACAATACTTCCTTTGCTTATGCTGGAGAAGTAATAAAAATTCTGTACCTTGTCAACTTTGTCACAATGGGGGATTTTATATTTTGGGCTTATGTAAATTAATGACAATAATAACTCATTCTGTACCAAACATAACATCAAATTGCCAGATTTAAGTAACATCAGTCAAAAATAATCGTACTGCCGATATATACCGAGTGTCTGTAAAAGGTGGTTTAACTGTTTAGTACGTTATGGACGGGGGTTTCGGGACTCCCAAAAAAAAAATAATTAAAACATTCTGTATGATGTAGATTACGAAAAAAACGTAATTAAGCTCATAATACCCTCTAAGAAAACAGAGGGTGGGTGGGCGGGGCTAGTACCTGCTAAGATAAGACTGATTTTCGCAAATGACGTATCCTCTAAGACATTTAATTACATTATTATAAAGAAAGACGTTAGGGGCCGCAAAGCATTTTCAAATTCTTTCCAAACAGGAATACCTAGAATCTCAAATCCGGAAAACGTGTTTCTGTTATTAATTCTGCCCAAGAAAGCCTTCAATATGTATTTTTTTCATTGTTTAGTATTTATTTTCTGTTTTTTTTTTTGCTTTTTAACAAATTTATTTTCTAAAAAAAAGTGCTGATATTTTTGGGTAAATTCATTCTACCATTTTTTTTAGTCTCACGTGTCTTATTAATAAAACAATGTTTTCCGGATTTTAACAGTATCAATTTTGGAAAGTTTTGATTTTCACCCAATTTCGCAAAGGGAATCTTTAAGAATTTAGGGACAATGAAAAGTTCAGGAGAGAAGAACAAAAACACTTCAAAATTACCAAGAGCCAAGCCGGCAAACGTGTTTCTGTTATTAATTCTGGCCATGAAAGCCTTCAATATATATTTTGTTCATTCTTCAGCATTTATTTTAAATTTTTTTTGCTTTTTAACAAATTTATTTTCTAAAAAAAATTGTAGATATTCTAGATAACTTCATTCTACCATTTTTTTTTTAATCTCACGTGTTTCAGCTATTAATTCTGGCCATGAAAGCCTCCAATATATATTTTTTTCATTCTATGGCATTTATTTTTTTTTTTTTTTGTTTTTGACGAAATTATTTTATAAAAAGATGTAGACATTTTTGGACATCGTCAATCTACAATTTTTTTTATCTCACGTGTCTTTTTAATAAAACGATGTTTTTCGGGTTTTAACACTATCATTTTTGGAAGTTTCGTTTTTCACCCTTTTTCGCAAACGAAATTTTCAGGAATTTAGGGACAACAAAAAGTTCAGGGGAGACGAGAACGATACTGATGATGAAATCCTTCTGAACAGAAACTCCAAAATCACCGCCATCCAAAGCCGGAAAACGCGTTTCTTTATTAATTCTGGTCGTGAAAGCCTTCAATATATTTTTTTTTTTCATTCTTTTGCATTTTATAACAAACGCATTTTCCAAAAAAAAAGTTGAGTATATTTTTGGTAACTTTATTCTACGATTTTTTTAATCCCACATGTGTCTTGTTGAAAAATTGTTTTCCGGGTTTTAACAGTATCAATTTTGGAAAGTTTTGGTTTTCGTCCACTTTCGCAAGGGAAATCTTCAGGAACTTAAGACCAACGAAAAGTTCATACAGAAAAAGAACGATACTGAAGATGAGACCCTTCTGAACAGAAACTTTCCAAAATCACCGCCATCCAAACCCGAAAACGCGTTTCTGTTATTTATTCTGGCCGTGAAAGCCTTCAATATATTTTTTTCCATTCTTTGCATTTTTTCTTTCTAACAAACCCATTTTCAAAAAAAAATTGAGCACATTTTTTCTAGCTTTATTGTACCATTTTTTTAAATCTCACATGCGGCTTATTGAAAAATTATGTCTAACGGGTTTTAACAGTATCAATTTTGCAAAGTTTCGGTTTCGTCCACTTTCGCAAAGGAAATCTTCAGGAACTTATGAACAACGAAAAGTTCATACAGAAAGAGAACAATACTGAAGATGAAATCCTTCTGAATAGAAACTTTCCAAAATTACTGCCATCCAAATCAGGAAAACGTGTTTCTCTTATTAATTCTGACCGTGGAAGCCTTCAATATATTTTTTTTTCGTTCTTTGCATTTTTTTTTCAAACTCATTTTTGAAAAAAAAAGTTGAGCATATTTTTGGTAACTTTAATCATTCATTTTTTTAAATTCCACATGTTTCTTATTGAAAAATGATGTTTTCTGGGTTTTAACAATATCAATCTAGAAAGTTTCGTTTTTCGTCCACTTTCGCAAGGGAAATCTTCAGGAATTTAAGAACAAGGAAAAGTTCAGGAGGAAAGAGAACGATACTGAAGATGAGACCTTTCTGAACAGAAACTTTCCAAAATCACCGCCATCCAAACCCGAAAACGCGTTTCATTCTGGCCGTGAGAGCCTTCAATATATTTTTTTCCATTCTTTGCATTTTTTTGTTCTAACAAACTCATTTTCAAAAAAAAAGTTGAGCACATTTTTTGTAGCTTTATTCTACCATTTTTTTTTAAATCCCACATGCGGCTTATTGAAAAATGATGTTATCTGGGTTTTAACAGTATCAATTTTGCAAAGTTTCGGTTTTCGTCCACTTTCGCAAAGGAAATCTTCAGGAATTTAAAGAGAACGAAACGTTCAGGAAGAAAGAGAACGATTCTGATGATGAGACTCTTCTGAACAGAAACTTTCCAAAATTACCGCCATCCAAACCCGGAAAACGTGTTTCTCTTATCAATGATGACAATCAAGAGTTTGAAATTCGTAAAAAATAAAACACTAAAAGCTCTAAAGATTTTTGCAAGTTCCTCCAGCAACAAAACACCAGATTCCTTTAAATTTATCCCAAAAAAAAACACCAGGATTATCTGTGGCTTTTTTTTATAATAATTTAATTAAATTTCCTATTAGAGGATACGTCATTTGCCAAAATCACTCTTATCTTAGCAGGAACTAGCCCCACCCACCCACCCTCTCCTTTCTTAGAAGGTACCTCATTTGCCGAAATCACTCTTGTCTTAGCAGGAACTAGACCCGCCCACCCACCCTGTCTTTTCTTAGAAAATATGTCATTTGCCAAAATCAGTTTTATCTTAGCAGCTACTAGCCCCGCCCACCCGCCCTCTTTTCTCTTAAATGGTATCTTATTTGCCAAAATCGCTCTTATCTTACCAGCAACAAAACACCAGATTCCTTTAAATTTATCCGAAAATAAAAAACTTTGACAATTTTTGGTACGTCAAACATTTTTAGCTGGTTAGAAAGAACCAATTTTAAAATCATGTAACTCCACCAAAATGTGAGAAGGAATTGTTTTACTATTTTTCCCAGACACCCGGTATATTTTTTAATAAATCCCAAAGCACACTGGAGAGCGAGCTTTTTATAATTTTTTGCCATATAATTCGCCATTAAAATGATACAGTATTGCACACAGGGGATGAAATGTCAGTTAAAAACTAAATTAATAAAAAAAAAATATGAAATTTTCAATATACAAAAAACAAATTAAAAAATTAAGGCAGAGAAAATTTCTTACGGCCTCTAAATTCCAGTCTTGTGAAATTATTGTAAAGTTCTCTAAAAATAAACTAGTTTTATGATTTTTGCGTGTAACTTATCTAACAAACTTTGGAGCTTAGTGTTCATACATTTTCATATTTATCCGTTTTAACTAGCTAATGATGAATCATCACGCTTTGTGTGTGGGTTAGAATAAGGTTACACTGGCGATCGATTGCGAGTATGCCGTAATCATATCTGAGAAATTTGCCAATGTGTCATCGTCTGATACAAATTATCTTGAAACGAAGATAATTTACCTTCCAAAATCATTTTCTGAATGTTTTTAATAAGTTCGAACCGCTATCATCGTAGCATTCGGTAACATTGTATTTGCCGCTCTAGTGCTATTAGCGCAAATTATAATAAAATTTTAAGCCCCAATAAAGCAATCATTTAAACTCGCTTAATCCATTATTTTACTAACTGCAGATAACTGGATAATGTAGCTGAATGGGTTATAAAGTACCCTCTTTCCGCTACGTGAATTTTATTTCGTCCATCTATTTTTAGGAGACGCTTGTTAGATTGATGTCATATCAGAAAGTTCCGTATTCGCGCCCTGATTTATGGTTTTATCACATACTTATCATTCCATTATTGTAGCTCGTAACTTTACACGCTCATATTAAACATAAATAAAAAAAACACTGTCTGAAAAACGCAATGTTTTAACATAATATAGACAATTAGCTTTAGTTCCAACGAACACATAGGAAATAATAGTCCGAAAACTGTGTCGTTTGCCATATCGATTACACACTTACAGACTGTTTTATTAGCCTCAATTGCTTTGGAGGGGATGCTCATCTAGAAAATGTTGACAGAATTTTAAGCACTCTATGGAAAATTAATACCGCTCGCACGTCACGTACCTATCTTTAACATTATTTGTTGTCAAATATTGAATAGTCCATTCATCGATTAAAAATCCATTTTTCACCAAAGTTTAACTAAAATAAAACACAATAAAACTCGTTAATATCTCCACCAACGTCAACAACTAATTACTCGTATCAAAATTTCGAGGTCATAACACAGCATCTCCTCCAAGACAAAGACCGATTACGCTCAAAATGGAAAAATCTTCGTCTCGTCTCAGACAAAAACGACGATTTTCAGTCGCGCTCCAGTTCTTTGAACCCTACGATTCCACTAACGACGGTCTTCTTCCTCAGTAGTCGTCCGCGGCGTCTTGGTGAACGCCGAGCCTCCAGACGGTTGCGCCGAGCTCCAGCCGCCCCCGTCCGACGAGAACGAAACGGGAAAATGGATAGTGCTGATGCCCCGGTACACTGAGAAGAGGAACTGTTCCTTCGAGCAGAAGGTGCGCACGGGCCAGGCCGCCGGCTACGACGCCGTGGTGGTCCACAATGTCAACTCCAACCAGCTGGTGCCGATGTCCGCCAAGAACGATACAGGTAAAGGGGTGGACTTTTTCGTATTTTTTTTTATGTAAATCAGTTTGTCATTGAAATCTGGTGCTTTTTCACTTTTGGATTTAACAGGTAGTTACATAAAATCTTCACTTTCTGTTTTATATGGGTTGGGTCATCATTGAGTATGATTCTTTGCATTCCAGTCACGTTATTTAATTTGATGTGTTCTGAGGAATCTCAATAATTTTAAACTATGACGTTATGTACATGATTAACGGTGTGTACACCAGGAAATCTTTGGATAATTTAAAACAAATACTTACGTTACCTAAAGTAATGATTCCGGTCAAAAATATGTAGATAATGTAATCGATACATTGAATAAACACACGTCAAATGTTTAAAGATGATAAGTGAACAAGTGCACAATACATTCAATAATTTAAACATTTTAAGATAGATTGATTAGTTTTCTTAATTGTGCTGTTTTGACGGGCTTATTAAAATTTATACTTAACTATTTTGACTTCTAAATGATTTATTTGGATTATGTTGGGTTCCAGAATTCCAGTCGCGTCTTTCTTAAATTGCTACAACTAACGCTATGCCTGCAAATGTAATGAATAAAAATATACTTTTAATTGTCACTTTTAAATTATTATTAACAAATCCAAAAAAGTTTTGTCGTAAAAATTTCACTATAAACATAAACAAATTGCACATTCAGTTCGTAGTGTCAAATAAAATTGGGGCGTGAAATTTGACAGAAAGGGCAATGCTACCAACCCCTTTACATTAATTCCCCAGTGTGATTTTTTCGTCTAATTTTATGACAGTTTTTAACGAATTTTAATCATTAAAAAGTTCATTTTTTTCAATTTTGTTGTAAAAATTTCGCTATATAATATAATCCCAAAAAATGTCACAAATTTTGCACAATGAAGTTTAGTGTGTATAGTTTGACCTAAGGAACAATGCTGCCAACAAACTTCACGTCCGTTCCCCTATGACATAATTTTCTGTAAACTTTGACAATTTTTCAAATAATTTTTTACTTTTTGGCACCTTTTTGATATAACGCGCGATCAGAAATGACTGAGTCTGTTGGCAATCCTGGATTTTTAGTTGAATTGGTATCATATTTTCAATAATTTCCGGTGTCAATTGCCAGGATCGTTGACATTTTCATTTCGCACGAAAAGTTCAAATTTTTCAGTCATTTCTGATCACACAGTATTAATATTCGAGTTTCAATTAATCCATAATATTGTAGTTAATTTTCGGACTATGACATTGTGAAATGCATATCTAAAATATCAATTGTGGAGAAATGAGGATTTTGCAATTAAGCTCCGCCCCCTCGACTAACGATGAATAAAAAAATCATTACAATTGAGAGGGGGCGGGTGGGCGGGGTTTATATTTTGTCCATTTGTTCTTAAAATACGAAGTCATGTTTTCCCAACAAGAAACTGAAAACTAGTTTAACTATCGTGTTGTTCAAAGAAAACTATACATATTAAGAAAGAAAAAAAAAGATTAAGCACGGCCCACCCATCCCGATCTCAATTGTGATGAATTTTCCATTCGTTGTTAGACCGAGAGGCGGAACGTAATTGCAAAATACATATTTCGCTACCAAAATTTTACATTTTGAACATGTTTTAAGTTTCTTGTTGTGAAAAGAAGGCAACGTATGATAAAAAGTCAAAATATAAACCCCGCCCACCCACCCTGTCTCAATTGTGATGATTTTTTTTTATTCGTCCTGTGAGTTGGGAGGCGAAGCTTAATTGCAAAATGTTTATTTTTTATAACAAAATGCTATGTAAAACGTGTTCTTAAGTAATCGTGTTCTTTAAAGAAAACTACGTTTTGAGTAAGAAAAAGCCAAAGATTAAGCCCCACCCAGCCGGATCTCAATTCTGATGAGTTTTTCATTCGTATTTAGACTGAGGGGCGGAGTTAATTGCAAAATCGATATTCCTCTACAAAATTTTACCCTTTCAAAACATATTTCATATGGTAATTCCTTCTGGAGAAATGAGAATTTTGCAACTAAGCTTCGCCCCTCGGTTCACGATGAATAAAAAAAATCATCACAATTGAGAGGGGGCGGGTGGGCGGGGCTTATATTTTGTCCATTTCTTCTTAATATACGAAGTCATCTTTTCCCAACAAGAAACTGAAAACAAGTTTAACTATCGTATTGTTCAAAGAAAACTGTACATATTAAGAAAAAAAAAATTAAGCACGGCCCACCCGTCTCGATCTCAATTGTAATGAATTTTCCATTCGTTGTTAGACCAAAACTTTACATTTTGAACATGTTTTAGGTTTCTTTTTGTGAAAAGAAGGCAGCGTGTGATAAAAAAAAACAAAATATAAACCCCCGCCCACCCACCCTGTCTCAATTGTAATGATTTTTTTATTCCTCGTGTGAGTTGGGAGGCGAAGCTTAATTGCAAAATGCTTATTTTTTATAAAAAAATGCTACGTGAAACATGTTCTTCAGTAATTGTGTACTTTAAAGAAAAATATGTTTTGAGTAAAAAAATCAAAGATTAAGCCGCACCTCGCCGGATGTCAATTCTGATGAGTTTTTCATTCGTAATTAGACTGAGGGGCGGAGTTTAATTGCAAAATCCGTATTCCTCTACAAAATTTTACCCTTTCAAAACATATTTTACATGGTAATTACTTGTGGAGAAATGAGGATTTTGCAGCTAAGCTTCACCCCTCGGCTCACGACGAATAAAAAAAACATCACAATCGAGAGGGGGCGGGTGGGCGGGGCTTATATTTTGTTCATTTGTTCTTAAAATACGAAGCCATCTTTTCCCAACAAAAAACTGAAAACAAGTTTAACTATCGTACTGTTCAAAGAAAACTATACATATTAAGAAAAAAAAAAAGATTAAGCACGTCCCACCCGTCCCGATCTCAATTGTGATGAATTTTCCATTCGTTGTTAGACCGAGGGGCGGAGCGTAATTGCAAAATGCAGATTTCCTTACCAAAATTTTACATTTTGAACATGTTTTAAGTTGCTTGGTGTGAAAATAAGGCAACGTATGATAAAAGGAGCAAAATATAAACCCCGCCCACCCACCCTATCTCAATTGTGATGTTTTTTTTATTTGTTGTGAGTCGGAAGGCCAAGCCTAATTGCAAAATGCTTATTTTTTATAAGAAAATGATGTTCTTAAGTAATCGTGTTCTTTAAAGAAAACTATACGTTTTGAGTAAAAAAAAGCCAAAAATTAAGCTCCACCCAGCCGAATCGCAATTCTGATGAGTTTTTCATTCGTAATTAGACTGAGGGGCGGAGCTTAATTCCAAAATCCATATTCCTCTACAAAATTTTACCCATTCAAAACATATTTCACATGATAATTCCTGGTGGAGAAACGAAGATTTTGCAACTAAGCTTCGCCCCTCGACTCATGATGAATAAAAAAAATCATCACAATTGAGAGGGGTGGGTGGGCGGGGCTTATATTTTGCCCATTTGTTCTTAATATACGAAGTCATCTTTTCCCAACAAGAAACTAAAAACCAATTTAACTGTCGTATTGTTCAAAGAAAACTATATACATATACAGTGTGTTATTGAAAGGTACGTACCACAAAATTGACAGTTCTTCGCGAAGTCTAAGAAGTCTGAAAAACTTATTTTGTGTTATCAAAATTATAAGGGGAAAATTAACCCTTATCCAACCTCTTTAGACGCTACTGAAGGATAAATAGGTAAAATTAACTTATTTTAGTAAATCCTAGCAACTGTAACAATAAAACTTTTGTCAAGACCAAATGTTGCTATAGAAACGAAAGATGATCTTTCTATCAGAGGCGTACAACGAATTTGGACATAAATTTTAATAATTTTTATCTCCAAAAGGAGAACACTTACCTGAACTTTTTTTAACTTTTAGCACCCATATTTCAAGACCAATTGCCCATTTTATTTTGTACGTACCTTTCAATAACACGCTGTATTAAGGAAAAAAAAAAGATTAAGCACGGCCCACCCACCCGACCTCAATTGTGATGATTTTTTTTATTCATCGTGTGAGTCGAGAGGCAAGCTTAATTGCAAAATGCTTACTTTTTTATAAAAAAATAATATGTGAAACATGTCCTTAAGTAATCGTGTTCTTTAAAGAAAACTACGTTTTGAGTAAAAAAAAGCCAAAGATTAAGCCTCACCCAGCCGGATCTCAACTCCCATGAGTTTTCCATTCGTAATTAGACTGAGGGGCGGAGTTTAATTGCAAAATCCATATTGCTCCACAAATTTTACCCTTTCAAAACATATTTTACATGGTAATTCCTTGTGGAGAAATGAGGATTTTGCAACTAAGCTTCGCCCCTCGGCTCACAATGAATAAAAAAATCGTCACAATCGGGAGGGGGCGGGTGGGCGGGGCTTATATTTTGTCCATTTGTTCTTAATATACGAAGTCTTTTTTTTACAACAAGAGACTGAAAATAAGTTTAACTATCGTATTGTTCAATGAAATGTATACATATTGAGAAAAAAAAAAGATTAAGCACGGCCCACCCGTCCCGATCTCAATTGTGATGAATTCTCCATTCGTAATTAGACTAAGGGGTGGCGTTTAATTGCAAAATCCATATTCCTCTGCAAAATTTTACCGTTTCAAAACATATTTCTCATGGTAATTCCTTGTGGAGAAATCAGGATTTTGCAACTAATCTTCGCCCGTCGATTCACTAGGAATAAAAAAATCATCACAATTGAGGGGGGCCGGTGGGCGGGGCTTATATTTTGTCCATTTGTTCTTAATATACGAAGTCATCTTTTCCCAACAAGAAACTGAAAACAAGTTTAACTATCGTATTGTTCAAAGAAATCTATACATATTGGGAAAAAAAAGATTAAGCACGGCCCACCTGTCCCCATCTCAGTTGTGATGAATTTTCCATTCGTTGTTAGACCGAGGGGTGGAACGTAATTGCAAATTACATATTTACCATTTTGAACATGTTTTAAGTTTCTTGTAATGAAAAGAAAGCAACGTATGATTAAAAAGCAAAATATAAACCCCGCCCACCCACCCTATCTCAATTGTGATGATTTTTTTCTATTCATCGTTAGTCGGCAGGCAAAGCTTAATTCCAAAATCCATATTCCTCTACAAAATTTTACCCATTCAAAACATATTTCACATAATAATTCCTGGTGGAGAAACGAAGATTTCGCAACTAAGCTTCGCCCCTCTACTCATGATGAATAAAAAAATCATCACTGAGAGGGGTGGGTGGGCGGGGCTTACATTTTGTCCATTTGTTCTTAATATACGAAGTCATCTTTTCCCAACAAGAAACTGAAAACAAGTTTAACTATCGTATTGTTCAAAGAAATCTGTACATATTGGGAAAAAAAAGATTAAGCACGGCCCACCTGTCCCCATCTCAGTTGTGATGAATTTTCCATTCGTTGTTGGACCGAGGGGCGGAGCGTAATTGCAAAGTACAAATTTTCCTACCAAAAATTTACCAAGGCAACGTATCATGAAAAAAGCAAATCCCACCCTATCTCAATTGTGATGATTTTTTTATTCGTCGTGAGCCGGGAGGCAAAGCTTAATTGCAAAATGCTTATTTTTTTATAAGAAAATGCTATGTGAAATTTGTCCTTCAGTAATCGTGTACCTTATAGAAAACTATACGTTTTGAGTAAAAAAAACCAATGATTAAGCCCCACCCAGCCGGATCTCAACTCTGATGAGTTTTTCATTCGTAATTAGACTGAGGGGCGGACTTTAATTGCAAAATCCATATTCCTATACAAATTTTACCCTTTCAAAAAAAAACATATTTTACATGGTAATTCCTTGTGGAGAAATGAGGATTTTGCAGCTAAGCTTCGCCCCTCGGCTCGCAATGAATAAAAAAATCGTCACAATTGAGAACGGGCGGGTGGGCGGGGCTTATATTTTGTCCGTTTGTTCTTAATATACGAAGTCATCCTTTCCCAACAAGAAACCGAAAACAAGTTTAACTATCGCATTGTTCAAAGAAATCTATACATATTGAGAAAAAAAAAAAAAAAGATTAAGCACGGCCCACCCATCCCGACCTCAATTGTGATGAATTTTCCATTGGTTGTTAGACCGAGGGGCGGAGCGTAGTTGCAAAATACATATTTTCTAGAGATGTGCCGACTGCAGTCGGCCGACTAGTCGGCTTTGTCAAAACCGGTTAAAATTAGTTTAATCGACCGAAAATTGGTGTCAAAGTGTAGATAATCTTCCGCTAGTTACGATTCTGTAATCGCCGTCACGATATATGGTCCAATAAACACGCAAAGCGAATTTAAAATTTCCAAAAATTTTCCAAAAAAGTGGTTAAAATTGGTTAAGTATTGTATAAACTGCCCTAAATTGTGTTATTCTTTATTTTTGAACTGAGTTACTACAAAAAATTAAATGTTAAAATTATCCAAAAAAATTTAACACATTTTTTGAAAAAAAAAGAAACTTCAGTTATTCCTTTTATTAAAATAAAACAAGTTTTTAAGGTAGTCAGAGAAATAGAAAAAAAAACCCACTGTCTGTTGCATTTATAAACAGTCGGCCGACTGTAGTCGGTACATCTCTAATATTTTCCTACGAAAATTTTACATTTTGAACATGTTTTATGTTTCTTGTTATGAAAAGAATGCAACGTATCATAAAAAATGCAAAATATAAGCCCCGCCCACCCACCCTGTCTCAATTGTGATGAATTTTTTATTCGTCCTGTGAGTTCGAAGGCGAAGCGTAATTGCAAAATGTTTATTTTTTATAACAAAATGCTATGTAAAACATGTTCTTAATAATCGTGTACTTCAATGAAAACTATATGTTTTGACTAAAAAAAGCCAAAGATTAAGCCCTACCCCTCCGGATGTCAATTTTGATGAGTTTTTCATTCGTGATTAGACTGAGGGGCGGAGTTTAATTGCAAAATCCATATCCCTTTATAAAATTTTATCCTTTCAAAACATATTTCTCATGATAATTCCTTGTGGAGAAATGAGGATTTTGCAACTAATCTTCGCCTCTCGACTCACGATCACTAAAAAAATCATCACAATTGAGAGGGGGCGGGTGGGCGGGGCTTATATTTTGTCCATTTGTTCTTAATATACGAAGTCTTTTTTTCACAACAAGAAACTGAAAACAAGTTTAACTATCGTATTGTTCAAAGAAAACTATACACATTAATAAAAAAAAAAGATTAAGCACGGCCCACCCGTCCCGATCTCAATTGTGATGAATTTTCCATTCGTTGTTAGACTGAGGGGCGGAGCATAATTGCAAAATACATATTTCCCTACCAAAATTTTACATTTTGAACAGGTTTTAAGTTGCTTGATGTGAAAAGAAGGCAACGATGATAAAAAGAGCAAAACATAAACCCCGCCCACCCACCCCGTCTCAATTGTGATGATTTTTTTTAATTCGTCGTGAGTCGGGAGGCGAAGCTTAACTGCAAAATGCTTATTTTTTATAAGAATATGCTATGTAAAACATGTCCTTAAGTAATAGTGTTCTTTAAAGAAAACTAGACGTTTTGAGTAAAAAGAAGCCAAAGATTAAGCGTTTTTACCATTTTAGACATGTTTTAAGTTTCTTTTTGTCGAAATAAGTCTTCATATATTAAGAAAAAAAAAAGGCAAAATATATACCCCGCCCACCCACCCTATCTCAATTGTGATGATTGAACATCGAAATATAATTCAAAAATCGGAAAAATCTAAATGAAACATCGAAGAGCTTAAGAACTGAATTGAATTGAAACATTGCAAAACCGAAAAATCAAAAATTTAGAAACGAAAAATCGCAAAATTCAAAAACTGAAAAATTAAAAATTGAGAGATGAAAAATCCCAAAATTGAAACCAACGAACAATTAAAATAACTGGAGATTGAAAAACCGGAAAAATAATTACAAAATTGGAAAAATCGAGAAATTGAAAATAGAAAATTTGAAAAACATCAAATTAAAAATTGAGAAACGAAAAATCGCAAAATTGAAAACAACTAGAAATTAAAACAACTAAAAGTTGAAAAGCCCAAAAATATTAAATCGGCAAAATAAAAATTGAAAAATTGCAAGAATGAAACACCGAAAACTACAAGAAGAATTGAAATTGAGAAATAGAAAATCGAAAAATTAAGAAATGTAATCGTGTTCTTTAAAGAAAATTATACGTTTTGAGTAAAAAAAAAAGACAAAGATTGAGCATTTTTACCATTTCAGACATGTTTTAAGTTTCTTGATGTCGAAATAAGTCTTCATATATTAAGAAAAAAAAAAAAAGGGAAAATATGAACCTCGCCCACCCACCCTATCTCAATTGTGATGATTTTAAATTGCAAAATCCTTATTAGTTCTCTACAAGAAATTACCATCGTAATACTATGTATATTAGGAAAAAATTAAACCCAAAGATTATGCCACACCCATACCTGCCCTGATCTAGATAGTAATGAAGTTTTCATTCGTTTTTCAGACCTAGGGGCGGGCTTACAAATTCCATATTTCTCAACAAAAATTTACCATTTTAAACGTGTTTTAGGTTTCTAAGAATAAAAAAATTATCACAAATGAGATGGGGTGGGTGGGCAGGGTTTATATTTTGTCCATTTGTTCTTAATATACGTAGTATTCTTTCAACAACACGATACTTAAAAACATGTTTCTAATTTCTTGTAAAGAAATTAGTATTTTGCAGTTAAGCTCCGCCCCCTTGGTTCCCGGTGAATAAAAAAATCGTCACAATTGAGACAGGGCGGGTGGGCGGGTTTACATTTTGCCTTTTTGTTTTAATATGTGTAGAATTTTTTTCACAACATGAAACTTAAAACATATTCAAAATGGAAAATTTGTATGGGGAAATATCGATTTTGAATCATTTTAACCATGTTTTAAGTTTCTTGTTGTGAAAAGAAGGAAACGTATGATAAAAAGAGCAAAATATAAGCCCCGCCCAGCCGCCCGAGGGGCGGAGCTTAAGCTTCGATTTCCCATAGAAAATATTTTTCTATGAGAAATTACCATGTGAAATATGTTCTTGTAAACGATTTATAGTATTAAACGACGTAAAGTTGGCGTTGCCTGTCAAAGTTGACACATCACGTTATTCTGTCAGCTGATATGTTTATCACCTGTCAATGTCAAAAGGAAGGGAAATTTGCATTTTCTACAACTTTTCAACATGATAGAATACGTGAATTTTCAGTGAGCTTTCGTGTTTGCAGTTTTTCTTTCTAAAATATCTTATCTTTGAAGACTATTTATTTATGTCGACTAGAAGAGATCATACACCACGTCAAAATATTTGTTCTAATTTTAACATCAATCGTTGAAATTATGATTCAGAAATAAATAGATAAAGTGTCTTTTTTGAAGATAAGTTTTCACGATCGTTAGATTATTGCACTTCATTGGACTGTAAATAGCAGTGTATTCGGAAAGAACTAACCAAACTTAGCCAGTATTAAACTAATCTTGAGATATAGACAGCAACTTGAGTTTGTGGTATGAATCATTTATGTTTAATAAAAACAAAATGAGTCTTAACACAGACCTTGCGGCGCTCCATAGTGATTTATCACATTCCGAGAGATTATCACTTATTTTGACAAACTCCAATAGTAGTGATTCTGCAGTCTAAAACCAGTTTCTCTTGTGTTTGTGACGTCTCGGGTATTTCTATAACTTCTAACTGTATGGAAGAACGTAATACTAATGCGGGTTTTTTCGCAAAACTTCGTTTGATGGAACACTCGCTACGTTTCAGGTATCAACATCCCGTCCGTGTTCGTGAGCGAATCCTCCGGACTCATGTTGAAGAAGATCTACGCGGATCCCAAATACTTTATTGTGATAACGGGGGAATCGCCGTTTAATATACAAACGCATCTGCTGATTCCGTTCGCTATCGTAGTGGGGATCTGTTTCATTGTGATGATTATATTTTTGGTGAGGTTGCTTTTGTTCTGGGAGGGGCTGTTATTAATATGCTTTGTAGGTGGTGAAGTGCATTAAGGACAGAAGGAGGCAGAGGCGGCACAGACTGCCTACTTCCACACTCAATAAAATACCAATTTGTAAATACCAGAAAGGGGATCCGTATGAGACCTGTGCTATTTGTTTGGACGATTATATCGAGGGGGAGAAGTTGAGAGTTCTTCCATGTAACCATGGTGAGTAGTGGTATTGTTTGGACAGTTGGAGATTGTTTTATGGAAAACGTGACAGTAAAGCGAAACAATTTTGCGACTTGGTACAGGATGTAGATTTTTTTTATTTTAATCATATTTTTGGAAAAACTTTTAAAAAATTTAAACTTATTTTTTGCGTTTATTTGAAAAGATGTGGCGACGATTTCGAATTTGTATTTAGCGGAAGATTATCTACAATTTGATAGCAATTTTCAGTCGATTGAACCCATTTTAACCCATTTGTTTTTTGGAAAAATTTTGAAAATTGTAAACTCGTTTTTCACTTTTATTTGAATAAATGTGACAACATTTTACTATTTAACTTTGAAATTTTAAAATTCCATGAAACTTGCAAACAAACGTTTTATGGTTAAAAATTGAAGAATGAAAAAATTTTAAATCGGGAAAATAAAAGCCGAAAAATTTTAAAATCAGAGAAATTGAAAAATGTAAAAATACAATTGAGAAATTAAAAATTCAGAGATGACAAATCGCAAAATTGAAAACAACGAAAAATTAAAATATCTAAAAATTGAAAAATCGAAAAAAAATTAATTTGGGAAAACAAACATCGAAAAATACCTCAAAAATCGGAAAAATCAAAAAATTGAACAACAAAAAAATTGGAAAACCGAAAAATTAAAAATTTAGAGACGAAATGTCGCTCAATTGAAAAACCGAAAAATTAAAAATTGAGAGACGAAAAATCGAAAAAATTGTTCAAAAATTTAAAGGTTTATGAATTCGAGAAATTGAAAATAGAAAAGTTGGAAAACATCAAATTAAAAATTGAAAAACAAAAAATCGCAAAATTGAAAACAACGAAAAACTAAATCAACTAAAAATTGAAAACACCAAAAATATTAAATCGACGAAATAAAAATTGAAAAATTACAACAAACAAAAAACACTGAAAACTGCAAAAAGAATTGAAATTCGAGAAATAGAAAATCCAAAAATTGAAAAATATAAAAATCTAATAACTCAGAAATTTAAAAATTACAAAATCAAAAAATTGAAGGAACAAAAAATTAAAAAATCGAACAATTAAAAATTGGGAGATAAAAAATCGCCAAATTGAAATTAACCGAAAATTAAAATAACTAAAAATAATGAAAAATCAAAAAAAAAGTTCAAAAATCGGAAAAGTCGTAAAATGAAAAATCAAAAAATTCCAACAATGAAACATCCAAAGGTTTAAGAAATCGAAAAATTGCAAATAGAAAATTAGCAACGAAAAATGGCAAAATTGAAAACAACGAAAAATTAAAACATCTAAAAATTAAAACATATATATATTAAATCCACAAAATGAAAATCGAAAAAATTGAAAAATCGAAACACCGAGAGATTGAATAATCGAAAATGAAAATCCTAAAAATTATAACATTGAAAAATCGAAAAATTGGAAAGCAATAAAATTGAAGAAAGGATAAATTGAAAAATCAAAAATTAAAATTTGAGAAACAAAACATCGTAACGAACGTTGAGAAATTGAGAAAAATGAAAATTTCAAATATTTACAAATTGAAAAATTAAAAGGACAAAAAATTGAAAAATCAGAAAAATCGAACATTAAAAAATGTAAACAATATCATTGAAAATTTTAAAAATTGTAGAATCGCAAAATTGAAAATAACGAAAAATTAAAATATCTAAAGATTTAAAAATCTAAAAAATTCTTTGAGAAAACAAACATCGAAATATAATACAAAAATCGGAAAAATCTAAATGAAACATCGAAGAGTTTAAGAATTGAATTGAATTGGAAAATTGGAAAACCGAAAAATCAAAAATTTAGAAACAAAAAATCGCAAAATTTGAAAAACATCAAATTAAAAATTGAGAAAAAAAATCGCAAAATTGGAAACAACGAGAAATTAAAACAACTAAAAATAGAAAAGCCCAAAAATATTAAATCGGCAAAATAAAAATTGGTCTAAAGAGTTTAGACAGTACTTCCCTCGCTGTCGGAAACTTGACGACTGCATGCCTATTGTGTTTTTTCTCATTACATTTTTGTAGTGGGAATTTAAAAAAAATTGCGATGACGTCATCAACATTTTTGCAAGGACACGTATATCAGTTTGGGATAGATGTAGTGTAATACTAAGGATAAAATTATTATATTCTCAAATTTTCAGGAAAATGAATTGGGTCGTTTTGAATATTGATTTGTAATAATCAATAAAATAACGAAACAATTTACTCACGTATACGTATCCCAGGCAGCTGAAAATCGTGTACGCATAAACATTCTTAATTTAAGATGACAGGCGTAACAGCATACTTGAGAGTCAAACAGAGAAACTGTAAACAAAACGACCATCGGTTTTATTGCTTCGACTTCCGCTTATTATATAAAACATTGGGTTTTATTTTAATTCTTGACGGTGAAATTCACAATTGGTTGATTATAAACATGTCTATTTCACATTCGCGGAACCAAGTGAACGCATAAAACAAATGCAGGTCTGTAATGTTAAAGTCGATGTAAATAAGCATGCTACCCTTATGTTTCAACCGAGTTTTTCCTTTAACAAATTTTTTGTCTACCAAATTGGGTTGGTTGGGGTGTAATACTAATAATAAGTGTTGCCTTTAATTTAATCAATAAAATAAATTGACTTCATTAATTTTTTTGAACCACCTCTTAAGAAAATCTAAAAAATATGAATGGAATGATAAATCACAAGTACAAACTCATCATATTTTTTGCATTTTAGATAGGATTTATTCAGCAAAATTTAAGGGTGACGTCATCAATTTTTTTAGGAGGGATGAACAAATACATTTTGAACAAAAGTTTACCATGCTTATAATAACTTTAGAATATTCCCAAGATTTCAAAGCATTCGGTTTTGTAATTCCTGATTAAATCGATAAAATAAATTCACGCCTTCATTAATTTTTTTGAGTCACCCTGCATATGCAAATCCAAAAATATGAATGGAATGATAAATCACAAGTACAGACTCATCATATTTTGTACATTTTAGATACGATTTATTCGGCAAACTTTTGAGCTGACGTCATCAGTTTTTTGTAGAAGATAACCAAATATATTTTGACTAAAAATTTATTATGCACTTTATAACCTTAAAACATCTGCAAGATTTCAAAGCATTCGGTTTTGTAGTTCCTGATTAAATCAATAAAATAAATTTACGCATTCATTAATTTTTTTGAGTCACCCTGTATATGCAAATCGAAAAAATTTGAATGGAATGACAAATTACAAGAAGAGACTCACCATATTTTGTACATTTTAGATAGGATTTATTCAGCAAAATTTTGTGGTGACGTCATAAATTTTTTAGGGGGGACGACCAAATACGTTTTGATCAAAAATTTACCATGCTTATGATAATTTTAAAATATCTTCAAGATTTCGAAGCATTCGGTTTTGTAGTTCCTGAGTAAATCAGTAAAATAAATTTACGCTTTCATTTATTTTCTTGAATCACCCTGTATATGCAAATCCAAAAAATATGAATGGAGTGATAAATGACAAGTACAGGCTCATCATATTTTGTACATTTTAGATATGATTTATTCGGCAAACTTTCGAGCTGACGTCATCAAGTTTTTGGAGGGGATAAGCAAATATATTTTGACTAAACATTTATTATGCTCTTTATAACCTTAAAACATCTGCAAGATGTCAGAGCATTCCGTTTTGTAGTTCCTGATTAAATCAATAAAATATATTTGCGCATTCATTAATTTTTTTGAGTCACTCTGTATATGCAAATCCAAAAAATATGAATGGAGTGATAAATGACAAGTACAGGCTCATCATATTTTGTACATTTTAGATATGATTTATTCGGCAAACTTTCGAGCTGACGTCATCAAGTTTTTGGAGGGGATAAGCAAATATATTTTGACTAAACATTTATTATGCTCTTTATGACCTTAAAACATCTGCAAGATTTCAGAGCATTCGGTTTTGTAGTTCCTGATTAAATCAATAAAATATATTTACGCATTCATTAATTTTTTTGAGTCACCCTGTATATGCAAATCCAAAAAATATGAATGGAGTGATAGATCATAAGTACAGACTCATCATATTTTGTACATTTTAGATATGATTTATTCCACAAACTTTTGAGCTGACGTCATCAAGTTTTTGGAGGGGATAAGCAAATATTTTTTGACTAAAGATTTATGATGCTCTTTATAGCCTTAAAACATCTGCAACATTTCAAAGCATCTGGTTAGCAGATTAAAAATTAAATTTCAAAATGTTGTTTTATAATTTTGATTTTTTTTCCAAAAATCTGGACGTTTCGGGTGAAAAGTCGATTCAGAGTTGTAAACTACATGTGTAGGACTATGTTATTTTATACAATTGAAAACCCATTTACTATGTACAATTTTGAAGTGACGTCATCGCTTTAGTGGTGGGGATGATTCGACAAATTTTGGTTAGCGTTTTACCATCTACATGATATTCTTAATATAAGTACAAAATTTCACAACAATCGGTCGAGTACTTTCGGAGATTATCTGTCTAATAAAAATCCGGGACAACAGACGGACAGACGGACAGACGGACGGACAGACGGACAGACGGACGGACAGACGGACAGACGGACAGACGGACGGACAGACGGACGGACAGACGGACAGACGGACAGACAGACGGAAATGGGCGACCTATTTCTTCGTCTTCTAGGGGTCATGAAAGATTGAGAAAACGTAAAAGTAGAGAGTCGGCCGACGGACTCGATTACAATACTTCCTTTGCTTACGCTCGGGAAGTAAAAATTGAAAAATTGCACCAATGAAACACCGAAGAATTGAAATTGAGAAATAGAAAATCTAAAAATTACGAAATGTAAAAATCTAATAAGTGAAAAATCCAAAAATTGCAAAATCATAAAATTGAAGGAACAAAAAATGGAAAAATCGAAAAATAGTTCAAAAATCGTAAAAATCGTAAAATGAAAATTGAAAAATTGCAACAGTGAAACATGAAAGGTTTATTAAGAATTCGAGAAATTGAAAATAGAAAAATTGAAAAGCATGCAACTAAAAATTGAGAAACGAAAAATCGCAAAATTTTGCGATTTTTCATTTCTCAATTGAAAAGAACCAAAAATTAAAATAACTGAAAATTCAAAAACCGAAAAATTAAAAATGAAGAGACGAAAAATAGCAAAATTAAAACGAACGAAAAATTAAAATATCTAAAAATTGAAAAATCTAAATATTGAACAATAGAAAAATTGCAACAATGAAACATCGAAGAGTTTAAGAATTGAATTGAAAAATCAGAAAACCGAAAAATTAAAAATTTAGAGACGTAAAATCTCAAAATTGAAAATAAGGAAAAATTAAAACAACTGAAAATTGAAAAAAATTAAATCGACAAAATAAAAATTGAAAAACTTCAACCGAAAACCACAAGAAGAATTGAAATTCGAGAAATAGAAAAATAGTTAAAAATCCGAAAAAAATGAAAAACTTAAAAATTAAAAATCGTGGAACGAAAAATTGCAGAATTGAAATCAACAAAAACTCAAAATAGTTTCTAAAAATTAAAAATTGAAATAACGAAAAATTGGGACATCGAAAAATAAAAAATTGAGTTGAAAAATAGCAAAATTTAATCGTTGTGTAATTAAAATAATTAAAATTAAAAAAATCAAAAATTTTAATTCGAGAAAGTAAAAATCGAACAATAATTAAAAAATCGGAAAAATTCAAAATTGAAGAATTGCAACAATGAAACTTCGAAAAGTGGAATTGAAATTCGAAAATTAAAATTGTAAAATCGAGAAACACAAAAATTGAAAAGTAGGAAAATTGCAACAATGAAACATCGAAAAATTTTGGTACTGAGTCGAGAAATTAAAGATCGAGAATTTGAGAAATGTTAAAATCTAATAACTCAAAAATCTAAAAATTGCAAAATCGTAAAACTGAACTGAAAAATTGAAAACTTGAAAAACTGCAACAATGAAACACCGAAAAGTTTAGGAACTGAAATTCGAGAAACTGAAAATAGAAAAATTGCAAAATTGAAAACAAACAATCAAAACACCTAAAAATTGAAAAATCGAAGAATATTAAATCGGCAAAGTAAAAATTAAAAAAATTGAAAAAAAAGCAAAGAAATCCAAAAAATTGCAACAATGAAACATTAATCAAGAATTGAAATTCAAGAAACAAAACATTGAAAAATCTAAAAATCTAAGGACTCAAAAATCCAAATCCAAAAGTTGCAAAATCGTAAAATTGGAAAAACAAAACATTGAAAAATCGAAAAATTAAAAATTGACTTGAAAAATCCGAAAATTGAATGCAATAAGTAATTAAAAATTGAAAAATTGAAAAATATTAATTTGAGAAAGTAAAAGTAGAAAAATGATTCAAAAATAGGAAAAATCGAATAATTGTAAAAAAAATGCAACAATGAAACATCGAAAAATTTAGGAAAAGAAATTCTGGATGAAAATCGAAAAATTGAAAAACTGAAAAACAGAAAAATTAAAAACTGAGGAGAAATATCGCAAAATTGAAAACACCGAAAAAATTAAAATAACTAAAAATCGAAAAATAGTTCAAAAATCGGGAAAATGAAAAATTGTAAAATCGAAAAGTTTAAGAATTCGAGGGGAAAAAGTTCTCCATTGGAGGGCGGCTTTGATCCAAAATCATCCTCAGAAATTGAAAATAGATTAATTGAAAAACTTAAAAATTGAAAATTGAGAGACGAAAAATCGCAAAATTTAAAACAACGAAAAATCAAAATATCTAAAAATTAGAAAATTGAAAAACATTAAATCGACAAAATAAAAATTAAAACAAATTAAAAAATTGAAGAATCGAAAATTGAAAAATTGAAAATCTGAAAAATTAAATAATCTGCTAAATTGTGTTTGAAAAAATCGAAAAATTGCAAAACCGTAAAATTGAAGAAACGAAAAATTGAAAAATTAAAAATTGGGAGACTAAAAGTCGAAAAATTAAAGTAAAGAAAATTATACATAAGAATTATTAAACCTTGAAAAATTGGCGAAATTAAAATCGAAAAGTAATTTTAAATTGCATTATTATTATTTTGTTTAGTTTGAACTATGTAATGAACAGTTTCCGTAAGTAAATTGTTATTAAAAAATCTAAAAATTGAAATTACGAAAATGAAAAGACCAAAAAGACCAAAAGTTAAATTAAATATATCAAATTTGTAACAACGAAAGAAAAATTGAAAAACTATAAGTCGAAAAATTGAAAATCTAGTAATTGAAAAGTTAAAAACCGAGAAATCGAAAAGTGGAAAAACTGATAAGTCGAATATTTAAAAAATTGGACTATATAATTGAGATAGAAAATAGCAAATTCTTAACATTGAAGAAAAATTTAAAATTAACGACTAGAAAAATTAATCGAAAAATACAAAAATCTAAGGAAGTGTTGTAATCGAGTCCATCGGGCGACTGGATATTTTTATGTTTCCTCTACGTTTCATGACCCCTAGAATAAGAAAATATAGGTCTCTCGTTTCCGTCCGTCTGTCGATAGATAATTTCCGAAACTACGGAACCGATTGCTATCAAATTACGTACATTAGGAATATCGTGTAGATGGTAAAACACTAACCAACGATGATATGACGTCAGCTCCAACTTTTACAAAAATAATGTACTCCTCCACTTGTAGTTTTAAGATAATCGAAAACAAGGTAAACAGTTAGTCAAAATTTATCCTTTTACAACTCCGCTAAAAAATTATGACGTCATTTTACAATTTTCCCGAATAAATGTTATTAACATTTTATAAACAAAATATTCCTGTATGTGTGATTTATGAATCCATCTTGAGTTATTACACAGTTTAACAATTTTTTTTGAAAAATTTTGAAAATCATAACGTCAAAATTTTCCATTTCCAGTATACCACACCAAGTGCATAGACCCATGGCTGACCAAGAACCGCCGCGTCTGCCCCATCTGCAAGCGCAAGGTGTTCGCCCACGACGAGCCCCAGCACGACTCCGACAGCGACACCGACGCCGACGACACGACGCCCCTCATCAACTCCAGCAACCGGGGCACCCAGGGGGGCACCTTCCAGCCGCAGAGCGAGAACCCCATCCAGCGGGCCGTGCGCTCGATATCGCAGCAGTCCGGAGCCGTCAACTTCGTGACGGCATCCGACCACCACAGCATCAACGGGGACTACCAGAGCTGCCACAGCTCGACGACGGGATCTGAGGAGTGTCTCTTGCGGAACGAGGGCGAGAACGCTTGTGATAACCTAGACGAGGTCCACGTTCACACCCAGCCCGAGGTGGCGAGCGTGGCCAGCAGCGGCGACGTGCACGTATGATTTCTTATGTTTGATTATTTTAGAGTTTAGGTTGCTTTTATGACCTTCTAGTCTTGTACGGAAGTTTAAGATTCGTATAGGATCACGGAACGTGCTGGTGCTATTCGTTTTGTTGATTAAATTTACTCGATGACTGTATTTAATTTCGTTGACCTTGATGATTTGTGACTGGGGAGGGTTGCGCTCGAGGCGCGGCCGAGCGCTGCGGCTCGAGGGGCGAACTGGCACACCTGTATATGTAAGCTTACAAGTAAATATATTTTTTGATGGTTTAGTTATTTTCATTTGGTTGTGATGAGGAGGGCGTCGGATGCGGCGACTACGAGGAGGTGTTTTGTACATTTTAAATTTTAAGTGTTAATATTTATTGTTTACTCTTATTTTTAACTATATGCCAAATTGTTAGTTTAATTATAATGTACATCTAGAGGAGTTTCTTACTGACAATAAGTTACCTAACCTAATTGTTTCAAATTGAAACAAACGCAGCCGCTTTTAACTCATGAATGGAATTACACTATTTGTGTATCGTTCGTTTTTCTCTTTTTTCTTTTGACCCTTTTTGCGTGACTGGAAGTAGCCGCAGAACACCCTCAAGGTGAGGTAGTAGACTATCTCCACCAGACTCAACACACTGAAACCGAGGCACAAACCCAGAAGACCCCCCACATTGGCTACAATTATTTTTGTTTTAGTCATTTTTTTTCCAAGCTTTACTTACATATAACTTCCGTGAATCCGAAGATTTCGCTCTTGATTTGGCGCCGGAAGCGGTTCTCGGTGAAGAAGAAATGAAGAACCGCCATATTTTTGCTAAAATGGCGTAAAAATGACGTCATGGTGTGTTGTTTGAGGTTATGTTAGATGATTTACCGGAAATACTCGTCTGACATGTTTTCAATGCGGTGTTTAAAATCCGTGGTCAGTAAATCGCTGTATGTCACGGTCTTGTCGAAGTTCATTTCGTAACAACTGGGCAAACAGTTGCAGCTGGATCTAATAAAATATTACAATAATTTTTGAAGGATAAGTGTTTTTTTATTTGTACCCATTTCCGTATACGAGCTCCATGTCCTCTGGAATTTAATGGTCAATGGGTGGTTGTCAAGAGGTTTTCTTACCTTTTGCTTTTGAAGCGCATTTTTCCTGACGTTTCCCACACACAGGAAGTATCTTGTTTTCTAAAAGAAGTTGAAGGATAACTTTAAAGGTGAGCTTCTTGAGGAAAAAAGTGCATATTAAGGGAACAATCAGTCTTGGTTGGATCCAAGGTAGGTACCACATTAAGGAAAAAAAAAATACAAAATACAAATTTGGAACTGACTCTAGACTAAAAAAATGCTAACAATAAATTGCCCACATTTTTTTAAGGAAATAAGTTTCTTAGAAAGAAAAAAAATTGTCGAGACTATTAAATGGAACTGAAGGAATTCACGATAAGAATTAACAGAAAAACGATTTCTTCTTCAGCCGTCGCCTGAGAACTTGTTTGATCTACAGACCAAAGCGCACTCAGGCCAATATCGACTCTAAGCAATTTACCTAGAAGCTGACTTTCGTTAGAGCTTTTGGAAAAAAACATTTTCCAATTTATAGTTATTGGAAGGATGTTAAGTCGTTGGTCAAAATTTATCTGTTCATGCCGCCCAGGAATTGATAATGTCATCTTCAAATTTTGTCGAATAAATATTATTTAAATGTTAGAAAGTAGTATAGTCCTTGTGGTTTATAAATACGCTATTGAGATTTTTCGGATTTTCGGTTTCTTGATTTTTCAATATTTCAGTTTTGGGCTTTTTCAATTTTTCCATTCCTCAAATTTTAGATTTCTCGATTTTTTTATTTTTCAATTTCTCAGTTTTCCGGTGTTTCAATGATACGAATTCTCAACTTTGCCCTCTTCAATTTTACGGTTTTTAAATATTTCCATTTTTTCAAATTTTGACGTTTCTAAATTTTCAGTTTTCCGATTTCTAAAGTAATCTTTTTTTATTTTCCCATTGGCGACTTCCCAAAGTTTCGATCTTTCACTTCTTCATTTTTTCGATTATTCAGGTTTTTGATTTTTCAATTTTTCGTTTTTTTAAGCTTACGATTTTTCGACTTGGCTTTTTAGTTTTTCGATTTCTCAATTTTTTGGATGTTTATTTCAGTTTTGGAATTTTTCAATATTTCGATTTTTGGACTCTTGGATTTTTTTTGATTTTTCGATTTTTTTCTTTCTGGATTTTCAGTTTTTCGTTAAACTATAGATTTTTCAATTTTTCACTGTGCGAAAGTGGACGAAAATCGATACTTTCCAAACTGACACTGCTAAAACCCGGAAAACATTGTTTTTCAAGAAGACATGTGGGATTTAAAAAATTGTTAAAATAAAGTTACCAAAAATATTTTCTTTTTTGGAAAATGAGTTTGGTAGAAAGAAAAAACTTTTCGTTGTCTTTAAATTCCTGAAGATTTCTGTTGCGAAAGTCGGCAAAAACCGAAACTTTCTAAAATTGATAAACTGTTAAAACCCGGAAAACATCATTTTTCAATTGTGGCAAATGACATACTTTCTAAGAAAAGAGAGGGTGGGTGGGCGGGGCTAGTTCCTGCTAAGATAAGAGTGATTTTGGCAAATGAGATACCTTCCAAGAAAGGAGAGGGTGGGTGGGTGGGGCTAGTTCCTGCTAAGATAAGAGTGATTTTGGCTAATGAGGTACCTTCTAAGAAAGGAGAGGGTGGGTGGGTGGGTTGGGACTAGTTCCTGCTAAGATAAGAGTGATTTTGGCAAAAGAGGTACCTTCTAAGAAAGGAGAAGGTGGGTGGGTGGGGCTAGTTCCTGCTAAGATAAGAATGACTTTAGTAAATGACATAGATTCGCTCTAAGAAAAGAGAGGGCGGGCGGGCGGGGCTAGTACCTGTTAAGACTGATTTTGGCAAATGACATATTCTCTAGATAAAAAAAAAGTGCGAGTGACTGGGGCTAGACCTGCTAAGATAAGTCTGATTTTAGCAAATGACGTATCCTCTAATAAGGAATTTAATTAAATTATTATAAAAAAAAGCCACAGATAATCCTGGTGTTTTATTTTCGGATAAATTTAAAGGAATCTGGTGTTTTGTTGCTGGAGGAACTTGGAAAAATCTTTAGAGCTTTTAGTGTTTTATTTTTTACGAATTTCAAACTCTTGATTGTCATCATTGATAAGAGAAACACGTTTTCCGGGTTTGGATGGCGGTAATTTTGGAAAGTTTCTGTTCAGAAGAGTCTCATCATCAGAATCGTTCTCTTTCTTCCTGAACGTTTCGTTCTCTTTAAATTCCTGAAGATTTCCTTTGCGAAAGGGGACGAAAACCGAAACTTTGCAAAATTGATTCTGTTAAAACCCAGAGAACATCATTTTTCAATAAGCCGCATGTGGGATTTAAAAAAAATGGTAGAATAAAGTTACCAAAAATATGCTCAACTTTTTTTTTCAAAAATGAGTTTGTTAAAAAAAAATTTAAAAGAATGAAAAAAATATACATGTTGAAGGCTTTCACGGCCAGAATTAATAACAAAAACACCTTTTCGGACTTTGGATACCGGTAATTTTGAAAAGTTTCTGTTCAGAAGAGTTTCATCTTCAGTATCGTTCCCTTTCCTCCTGAACTTTTCATTGTGCTTAAATTCCTATAGATTTCCCTTGCTAAAATGCACGAAAACCGAAACTTTCCAAAACTGATACTGTTAAAACCCGGAAAACATCATTTTTCAATAAGACACATGTGGGATTTAAAAAAATGGTAGAATAAAGTTATCAAAACTATGGTCAACTTTTTTTTGGAAAATGCAAAAGAATGGAAAAAATTATACTGAAGGCTTTCACGGGCAGAATTAATAACAGAAACGCGTTATCTAAGTTTGGTTGGCGGTAATTTCGGAAAGTTTCTGTTCAGAAGGGTTTTATCTTCAGTATCTTTCTCTTTCCTCCTGAACTTTCCAGTGTGCTTAAGTTCCTGCAGATTTCCCTTGCGAAAGTGGACGAAAACTGAAACTTTCCAAAACTGATACTGTTAAAACTCGGAAAATATCATTATTCAATAAGACAAATGTGGTATTTTTTAAAAATGGCAAAACAAAGTTACCAAAAATATGGTCAACTTTTTTTTGGAAAAAGAGTTTTTTTGAAAGAACAAAAAAGTAGAAGAATGAAAAAAATATTATATTAAAGGCTTTCACAGCCAGAATTAATAACAGAAACACGTTTTCCGGGTTTGGATGGCGATAATTTTGGAAAGTTTCTGTTCAGAAGGATTTCATCTTCAGTATCGTTCTCTCTCCTCCTAAATTTTCCGTTGTCTTTAAATTCCTGAAGATTTCGCTTGCGAAAGTCGGCAAAACCAAAACTTTCCAAAATTGATACTGTTAAAACCCGGAAAACATCATTTTTTAATAAGTCACATGTTGGATTTAAAAAATTGTTAGAATAAAGTTACCAAAAATATGCTTAACTTTTTTTTTGAAAAATGGGTGTATTAGAAAGAAAAAACAGAAACGCGTTTACTGGCTTTGGATGGCGGTAATTTTGGGAAGTTTCTGTTTAGAAGGATTTCATCTTCAGTACCTATCGTTCTCTTTCCTCCTGAACTATTCGTTTGCCTTAAATTGCTGAAGATTTCCCTTGCGAAAGTGGACGAAAACCAAAACTTTCCAAAATTGATACTGTTAAAACCCGGAAAACAAAATTTTTCAACAAGACACATGTGGGATTAAAAAAATGGTAGAATGAAGTTACCAAAAATATGCTCAACTTTTTTTTGGAAAATGCGTTTGTTAGAAAAAGCAAAAGAATGAAAAAAAATTGTATTGAGGGCTTTCACGACCAGAATTAATAAAGAAACGCGTTTTCCGGCTTTGGATGGCGGTAATTTTGGAGAGTTTCTGTTCAGAAGGATTTCATCATCAATATCGTTCTCGTCTCTCCTGAACTTTTTGTTGTCCCTAAATTCCTGAAAATTTCGTTTGCGAAAATGGGTGAAAAACGAAACTTTCCAAAAATGATAGTATTAAAACCCGGAAAACATCGTTTTATTAAAAAGACACGTGAGATAAAAAAAAAATTGTAGATTGAAGTTGTCCAACAAAAATGTCTACATTTTTTTAGAAAATAATTTCGTTAAAAACTAAAAAAAATAAATGCCATAGAATGAAAAAAATATATATTGGAGGCCAGAATTAATAACTGAAACACGTGATATTAAAAAAATGGTAGAATGAAGTTATCTAGAATATCTACAATTTTTTTTAGAAAATAAATTTGTTAAAAAGCAAAAAAAAAAATTGAAAATAAATGCTGGAAGAATGCACAAAATATATAATTGAAGGCTTTCATGGCCAGAATTAATAACAGAAACACGTTTGCCGGCTTGGCCCTTGGTAATTTTGAAGTGTTTTTGTTCAAAAGAGCTTTACTTCAGTATTATTCTCTTCTCTCCTGAACTTTTCATTGTCCCTAAATTCTTAAAGATTCTCTTTGCGAAATTGGATGAAAATCAAAACTTTCCACAATTGATAACTGTTAAAATCCGGAAAACATCGTTTTATTAATAAGACACGTGAGACTAAAAAAAAATGGTAGAATGAATTTACCCAAAAATATGCTCAACTTTTTTTTTGGAAAAAGAGTTTGTTAGAAAGAACAAAAAAGTAGAAGAATGAAAAAAATATTATATTAAAGGCTTTCACGACCAGAATTAATAATACAAACGCGTTTTCCGGGTTTGGATGGTGATACAATTTTGGAAAGTTTCTGTTCAAAAAGGTTTCATCTTCAGTATCGTTCTCTTTCCTCATGAACTTTTCGTTGTCCTTAAATTCCTGAAGATTTCCTTTGCGAAAGTGGACGAAAACCGAGCCTTTCCGAAATTGATACTGTTAAACCCGGAAAATATCATTTTTGAATAAGACACGTGGGATTAAAAAAAAATAGTAGAATAAAGTTACCAAAAATATGCTCAACTTTTTTTTGGAAAACGAGTGTTAGAAAAAATTTTTTTTTGAATATATTGATGGCTTTCACGACCAGAATTAATAATAGAAACGCGTTTTCCGGGTTTGGATAGTGATAAAATTTTGGAAAGTTTCTGTTCATGAACTTTTCGTTGTCTTTAAATTCCTGAGGATTTCACTTGCGAAAGTCGGCAAAACCAAAACTTTCCAAAATTGATACTGTTAAAACCCGGAAAACATCATTTTTTAATAAGACACATGTTGGATTTAAAAAATTGGTAGAAAAAAGTTACCAAAAATATGCCCAACTTTTTTTTTTGGAAAATGGGTGTATTGGAAAGAAAAAAATGCAAAAGAAAGAAAAAAATATATTGAAGGTTTTCACGGTCAGAATTAATAACAGAAACGCGTTTTCTGGATTTGGATGGCGGTAATTTTGGAAAGTTTCTGTTTAGAAGGATTTCATCTTCAGTACCTATCGTTCTGTTTCCTCCTGAACTTTTCGCTTACCTTAAATTGCTGAAGATTTCCCTTACGAAAGTGGACGAAAACCGAAACTTTCCAAAATTGATACTGTTAAAACCCGGAAAACATAATTTTTCAACAAGTTGTCCCTAAATTCTTAAAGATTCCCTTTGCGAAACTGGATGAAAATCAAAAACTTCCGGAAAACATCGTTTTATTAATAGGACACGTGAGATTAAAAAAAATGGTAGAATGAATTTACCCAAAAATATCATATCAAAATAAATTTGCTAAAAACCCAAAAAACAGAAAATAAATACTAAACAATGAAAAAAATACATATTGAAGGCTTTCTTGGGCAGAATTAATAACAAGAAGGAGGAAAGGAAAGAATTTGGAAGTGCTTTGGAGTCTCTAGCGTCTTTCCTTATAATAATGTAATTAAATGTTTTAGAGGATACGTCATTTGCGAAAATCAGTCTTATCTTAGCAGGTACTAGCCCCGCCCACCCACCCTCTGTTTTCTTGGAGGGTATGTCATTTGCCAAAATCGGTCTTATTTTAGCAGGTCCTAACCCCGCCCTCGCTCCTACTATTTTCTTAGAGGGATCTCATTTGCCAACATAAGTTTTACCTTTGCAAGTAATAGCCCCTCTGTTTTCTCAGAGGGTATGGCATTTGCCAAAATCAGTCTTATCTGAGCAAGTACCAACCCCGCCCACCCGCCCCTATTATCTCCGAGGATATGTCATCTGCCAAAATCAGTCTTATCTTACCAAGTACTAGCCCCGCCCACCCGCCCCTATTTTCTCAGAGGATATGTCATCTGCCAAAATCAGTTTTATCTTAGCAAGTAGTGATGACTAACTTTAAAAAAAATGGCAGGAACTTTGAACTTCTTCTCTAGTATTTAGCTCCTTATCCTTTAATGGATTTTTCTTTTGTTGGTTTTGTTTTTGTTTATAATTTATAAATGTCTTATTAAATGTTTTTGATGTGTGCAGTGTTGCCAATTTTACTTTTATAAAATCACGTTTTTTTCGTAATCTACATCATAAAGAATTTTTTTATAATTTTTTTGGGACTCCCGAAACCCCCGTGCATAACGTATTCAAGAGTTAATCCGCCACTTTCCAGACACCCGGTATATTGAAGCCTTTCATGGCCAGAATTAATAACAGAAACGCGTTAATTTTGAAGTTCTGTTAAGTCAAACAACTAACTATTCACATTTTTTTAGTTTCTGATTTTTTTTTTTTTTTAACTTTCAACAATTTTTTTTAGTTTGTGTACATTTTTGAAATAAATAATTGTTACAAAGCATATCTGAAAGGAATCAAACGATTTTTGTGTCGTGGTCTTGTGTTTTAGGAAATTATTTTAAATGTTCATGTAAATCATATTAAATAATCGTGTTTATGCAACCAATTATACACGCAAACGATTTTTATACCAAGGTGTTTTTATTCAAGACGTCACAGAATATTTAAACGAAATTCAAGGGAAACGTAAAGTTCAACTAAAATTATAGAAAGTAACGTAATTAATATTAATATATACAGCGTGATCAAGAAATACTGTTTGAGTTGGCAACAGAATTAACTAGTTCTGAGAGAATTTTCGTGCGACGTAAATTGACAACAGGAAGTGACAGGTCTACCAATTTCAAGAATAATTCATTGCTACCAACATGAAACCATGTTATCAGCATTGTCGTGCATATGGAAAATCGATTATTATGTTTGACAAAAAAAAAATGTAGCTAGGGAAAATTATAAATAGAAACCACTCATGACAAAAACAAATATAATGTAGAGTGGAAATACTGTGAGAACAACTTGCGAAATTGTGTTATAAAAGAAAAACAGCGAAAATAATAGACAAAAACGAACTTACTTGGCAGGTAGTACGGAATGCACTTACACCTGTTCAGAGTATGGTTAGACTGACATTCCAACCGACAGTTTCTTTTAGTATAACTCCTACAAAAAAACTCAAAAAAACCCACAAACGTTACAACAATCCATTACCTGTAGTACCGCAAGGGCCGCTCATCCTGAAAAAAGCACTGCCTTTTGCTAACATCCACGGACCTCAACGTAGGCGTAGCTTCCCTTATTTCAGGCTTAATCGCATACCTAACTTCCACCCCCGGACTTACCAGAAACCCAAAATCGGCAATCTTCGGTGTTTCGATCGGATTCGAAAGAATAATCTACAACTCCCACACTAGCAACCGAACCAACACACGTGTAATCAGTACTTTAAACCCGTAGCTGTTCGTAGATGAACAAAAATAATTATCAAGTTGCGCATCCACGACAAGAGTCAAACCCAAATGGGTCCCAGAACCGATGGGACGAACTGGAATTGTGTCTATATCTCCGTCGTTAGGTTCAACGAAACCTTTCTCCGGGCTCCAGTCGTAAATCTTTTTCGGGAAAGTGTGGTTCAAGTAGGATATGTCATTCCTGAAGAGACATTGTTTAGTGGTAGGTATGACAGTACCAATGAGGTGTAGTTACGGGTTCCGGAAAATATTTTGAGCCGGGAGTCTGTTAAAAGAACAACAAAGACCCTCATCTGTCAAATCGTTGTTGAAATATTCTTCACAGCTTATGTTGTCGCTTTGCCAAAAGCACGTTTTGATGGTGTCGGAACAAGATTGTCCCACCTGAAACACGATATTTTTGGAAAAAAAGGTAAAATGGAACTCCGCAGGTACTTTGATGAGAAAATTTTGGACGACGTCCCACCCAGGGGCTGCTTTCTCTGGTCCGACCACAGTGTCATTATAGTTACAGTAGTCACTCAATAGTTGCTTTTCCATGGCGTTACTAAAATCTAGAGTCACTTAAATCGAACCAGATGGTGATTAGTCCTACTGTTCCTGTAGGATCCTTTCAGCTTCCGCCTTCTTGATTTGGTTCATGTTGCAGATGGTTATTGCAGGGAACGGGATTTCGTTGAAGGTGGCATCAACTGGATTGAAAGCCACAATCACGGGATTGGTGTTCCACTTGTCAAAAATTTTGGTAATGTAGTAACAAGCGAAAGCAAAAGCTGACCCGAAAGCTACAATCCAGAAGAGCCTGAAAAAACTACTTAGTCTTAGCCGAGTGTCCTAGTATCTAGTACCTTTCCAAGAACGACAGCGACGTGTCCCCTACGTATCTAAGTCCGTGAAGAGTAGTCTTCTCGCAGTAATTTTCAAACTGGTGGATTATCACCTTCGTGACGTTTCTAGTAGGTTCCAGGGTACTTTTTCGTTTGCGTTTGGACTCAGTCCTGATAATTCTGATTCTTTCATCTAGATCTAGAATAACCACTTGGTGTACTTACTTGTAGTTTTCAACGGGGAGAGCCAGCGCTAGCTCTTGCCCATTGTTGTACTCCCCAATCCTGAAGACAGAAGACGACAAGTGGGAGTTAGTTCCAGGTTGGGTCCACGTCCCAGGGACCTTCCTAGGCCGGATCATACTATTCTCAGACTTATACATCCTTTTAAGCCCCGATCCGCTCTTCTTCCTCTTGAAGAACTGCACGATAATTTTCTTCTGAAATTTGTCTTCGTCAATGTTGTAAGTAACATCTTCAATGATGGGCATTTTGAGTAGGTCGGTATGGAATGATTACACAGTGACGACGTTTGCTACGAGCTGGACAAGATGAACCCGATTGTGGCTATTTTAATTGTGGTTGCGTGTTTTTAATCGACAGGTTACATCGTTAGTGGAGGTAAAGGGTGTATTATAAGTAGTTATTAGCTTTGTTTTTCTTGGGTGGGGTGGTCGGGGATGAGCAATTTAATTTAATGTAAATAAATGGATGGTAAATGTAGTGTGGGTTTTTGTCGAGTTCATGGCTGGTATTGCAACATCAATTAATCTTTAGGTTTAACAGGAACTGGTGTAATTTGTTTTTAATGTGGTGGCAGAGAGCCATCGCGCACGGAAGAATCATGTAAATAAGGTAAATACAAAGACGATGGGAGATTTTTTGGAAATGATGTGTGTATTTGGGTAAAGTTGGAGTAATTATGGAAATGGGACCAAGATAGCACGATGGTACTATTTTTAGGAAAATAATTAATGTTTTGTGTGTTATTTTTTTTTTAGTGGTGGTGTCAAAATGTATGGTTGTAGTTTTTTTATTTCGTCACTGGAGGTAATAGGAATTTTCTGTTCGTTAGGTTGGGAGATGGTGATGTCACGATAAGATAGCCAGGCCACTTGACACAGATATGTGTTTTTGTATTCTAATTTTGGTAACTTTTTTTTAAGAAAATGTTTATGTCATCATAATGGAATCTTTTATCTATTTCGTTATTCCATTATTTGTGACCATTACACGCACCAGGGACCCATGGAAGAAGCAAAACAAAGCGTTGAAATTGGTCTAAGGTTATTTAGACAGAACTTCCCTCACCCCTTAAATACAGTCGAACAAATCCAATTGTTTACAGAATTTATAAAATTTGATTTTGCAAAATTTGATTCGTTTTATGACAAGCCTAAAAGTGAAAAAAATGGTCGAAAGTTGTTTCAACAGAACTTCCCTCATCCCTGACATGTCAAACAAATTTCGACTCCCAAATAAAGCGAGAAATCGAAATATCGTGAAATCTAGAAATCGAAAAATTGAAAAATCGAAAAGTCAAAAAATGAAAACGTTCAAAAATCGAAAAATTGTAAAATTGAAAAATTCGAACGTTGAAAAGTCGAAATACTTATCTAAAATGAGAAAGAAAATTGAAAAATTGAAAAATGGGGAAATCCAGAAATCGAGAAGTCAAAAATCTAAAAGCCGACAATCGATAAAAAGAAAAATTGAGATTTTAGAAAATGAAAAAAGAGAACACTGACAGAAATGGCAAATCGATATTTCGAAAAACCCAAACATTGAAAAATCTGGAAATCGAAAAAACGAAAAATCTAAAAGTGGAAAATTTTGAAAAATCGTAAATTCAAAAAATTCAAAAAATTCGAAAGATCGAAAACGCGAAAAACTGAACATTTGAAAAGTCGAAATACTTATTTAAAAATGAGAAAACGGAAAAATCAAATAATTGAAAAATCGAAAACAGGAAAGACTGAAAAATATAGAAATCGAAAAAATTAAAATGGTAAAGTCGAAAAATCGAGGACTCAAGAAATCCAGAAATCCAGAAATTGAAAAATCAAGAAATTGAAAAATCGATAAGATATCGAAAAATTAAAAATCGAAAAACCGAACATCGAAAGATCGACAATTGAAAAATCGAAAAATCAGAACATTAAAAATTTGAAAAATCGGAAAACCGGAGAATCGAAAAAATGAAAAATTGAGTCACCGAAAGACACAAAATCAGAATCGAGAATTGGAAGTTACAAATTAGAAAAATCAAAAATCGAGACATTAAAAATTTGAAAAATCGGGATATCGAAAAAACGAAAAATTGAGAAATCGAAAAATCGAATCACCGAAAAACTAAAAAATAAAAATCGAAAAAAGAAAAATCGAAAAATCTAAAAATGGAAAATTTTGAAAAATCGAAAATTCAAAAAATTCGAAAAATCTAAAACGCGAAAAACTGAACGTTTGAAAAGTCGAAATTGAATTGAAAGCAAGATATTAAAAATTGAAAAAATCAAAATGGTAAAGTCGAAAAATCGAGGACTCAAGAAATCCAGAAATTGAAAAATTGAAAAATCAAGAAATTTAAAAATTGATAAGATATCGGAAAATTAAAAATCGAAAAACTGAACATCGAAAAATCGACAATTGAAAAATCGAAAAATCAGAACATTAAAAATTTGAAAAATCGGAAAACCGGAGAATCGCAAAAACGAAAAATTGAGAAATCGAAAAATCTAATCACCAAAAAACTGAAAAATCAAAATCGAGAATTGGGAATTCAAAAATCGAAAAATTGAAAGATTGAAAATTTGAAAAATCGAAAAATCTAAAAAAGAAAATTTCAGAAAGTCGAGTAATCGAAGAACCGAAGAATTGAAACATCCAGAAATCTCGAAATCGAAAAATTGAAAAATCCACAAATTGAATAACCAATCGTGATATTGGAAAATTGAAAAATGAAAACATTCAAAAATCGAAAACCCGAAAAATTATAAAATTGAAAAATTCGAAAAATTGAAAAACCGGAAAGTCAAAAAATTCGAAAAATCAAGCACTCGAAAAACTGAAATTTTGAAAAGTCGAAATACTTATCTAAAATGAAAAAACGAAAAAATAAAAAAAATTGAAAAATCGGAAACAGGAAAAATTGAAAAATCTAGAAATCGAAAAATCATAACATTAAAAATTCAAAAAATCAATACATTAAATGTTGGAAAAATCGAGGATTCAAGAAATTCAGAAACTGAAAAATTGAAAAATTGTAAAATTGAGAAACTGAGAAATCGGGAAATCGTGAAGAAATTGACAATCGAAAAAACAAAAATTTGAGATTTCCAAAAATCGAAAAAGAGAACACTTGAAGAAATGGTAAATTGATATTTCGAAAAATTGAAAAATAAAAAACATTAAAACTTCGAGAAATCGGGAATTGGGAATATCAAAAAAATCGATTTCTCAGAAAGATCGAATCATCGAAAGACTAAAATAAAAATCGAGAATTGGTAATTCAAAAATCGAAAAAAAGAAAAATTGATAATTAAAAAAATCGAAATATTTAAAAATGGAAAATTTTGAAAAATTGAAAATTCAAAAAATTCGCAAACCCGAAAAACTGAAAATTTGAAAAGTCGAAAAATGGAAGAACCGAAAAGTCAAAAAATGAAAACATTCAAAAATCTAAAACTCGAAAAATTGTAAAATCGAAAAATTGAAAAATTCTGTGGCGGCACAGCGAAAAATTCGAAAAATCGAACACTCGAAAAACTCGAAATTTGAAAAGTCGAAATAATTAGCGAAAATGAGAAAACAGAAAAATAAAAGAAATTGAAAAGTTGAAAAATTGAAAAATCGGGAAATCCAGAAATCGAGAAGTCAAAAATCAAAAAACCGACAATCGAAAAAACGAAAAATTGAGATTTTAGAAAATGAAACAAGAGAACACTGGCAGAAATGGCAAATCGATATTTCGAAAAATCGAAAAATCAAAACATTAAACATTCGAAAACTGGGGAAATCGAAGAATCGAAAAAACCAAAAATTGAGAAATCGAAAAATCGAATCACCGAAAAACTAAAAAATACATTCGAGATATGGGAAATCAAAAATCGCAAAAAAATAGAAAAATCTAAAAATGCAAAATTTTGAAAATTCGAAAAATCGAAAACGCGAAAAACTGGACATTTGAAAAATCGAAATTCTCATTCAAAAATGAGAAAACGGAAAAATCAACTAATTGAAAAATCGAAAAAGTGAACGCTTGAAGAAATGGCAAATTGATATTTAGAAAAATTAAAACACTAAAAATTTGAAAAATCGGGAAATGGGAAAATCGATAAAAAGAAAAATTGAGAAATCGAAAGATCGAATCACCGAAAGACTAAAAAATAAAAATCGAGAATTGGGATTCAAAAAAATAACCAAAAAATTGAAAACAGGAAAAATCAAAACACTAAAAATTTGAAAAATCGAAAAATCGAAAAAAGAAAATTTCAAAAAATTGAGTAATCTAAAAACCGAAAAATTGAAACATCCAGAAATATAGAAATCGGAAAATTGAAAAATCCACAAAGTAACTAATCGTGATATTGGGAATTGAAAAATCGAAAAATGGAAGAATCGAAAAGTCAAAAAATGAAAACAATCAAAAACGAACAATCGAAATTTCAAAAATCGAACATTCGAAAAACTGAAAATTTGGAAAGTCTAAAAATAAGAAAAGGGAAAATAAAAAAATTAAAAATCGGAAACAGGAAAAATTGAAAAATCTAGAATCCGAAAAATCAAGACATTAAAAATTCGAAAAATCAAAACATTAAAAGTTCGAAA